CAGATGTCGCGCCTGGGAGTGTATATTTGCTATTGCAGCACGGCAGCAGCAAACAGTAGCGCCTGTCCTCCTCGAACTGGGGAGCTTGCCAACCAGCTCAGCCGAACGAACAGCGAGTTGGAGATGGCGCTATACTTCAAAGCGTGGCTTTTTGTCCTCCATGAGATGGCGAAGGGTGCGAAGATGAGCTCAGTGCAGTGGATGGATTCACAGATGGATTCGTCCAGTATTGCGGAGGCAGTGCACAAGAAATGGCTTGAATTGATCAACAGCAGAGCTGTAGAGGAAATTAGTGAGTCACCGGATGCCAGGAACGAGAATCTACTCCAACGAGAGCTTGAAAACTTGAAGGATGTACTGCCGGAAGAGGGGGAGGTGCAGGTGCTTTTTGTTTTTGATGAAGGTCGCGGTCTCTTACCGAATGGGGAAAGCACCTTCGGTATGGCACAATCGCCGTTTGACCAGATGAGGCGAGTGGCGAGAGCTTTCTTCACACACAAGAAATACTTTGCAGTTGTCATGGATACGATGTGGAGTATCAGTAATCTCCACATCAGTAATCTGCAGCCTCGACGGCACGAGGACCAGTCGAGGAAAGCTAATATCCTGGGTTTGCGGCTTTTAAGGCCTATTTATCAGGTGGTGAATATGGACCTTGTTCCTCGGACTACGGATTTGTCTCCAGCTCAGTTGTTCAGGTATGGAAGGCCCCTATGGAGTAGCCGCCTTGACAGCAATCCAAATGTGTGGAGCCTCCTCGATCTCGCGGAAGCCAAGCTGGTTGGGGTGCTGCACGGGGACTTTCAGGGGCAAGCTGTGGACGTTTGTGGTTCTACCGGAAAGGTACAGATGGCTGAGAGCCAAGCGTTGGCCTTGCTTTCAGCATCAGCGGGCCTGGAGATATGCCCGCGGAGTGCGCAAAGCCAGCTTCTTGTCGCTTCTCACATGAGTATCCTTACGTTCATCTCCCTCGATCGTACGAGAGTGCATATCAGTCAGCCCGTGGAGCCCGTTGTGAGTGAAGCGGCCGCTAGGATTCTCAACCGCAAGAGTGGCGAGCCTCTAGAAGTTGCTCTAGGGCTGTTCCTGAACGGCTGCTACAATGGCTATGTGGATGCTGGACCTCGGGGGGAATTCATAGTGAAGCTCATCTTGCTGCAAGCTTGTTGGAGCTTGTACAAGGGTGACTACTACCTACGCCGCATTCCTCTCCGGGATTATATCGGACGATTGCTGGGCTGGGAGGAGGCACAGGTTGACGAGGCATGCAGCGGCCTGGATGAATCCGCTGCCGTCTTTTTTAACAGTTTTATGCTGGTTAAGCAGGGGCAGTTGACACCCGAGATCTTGGCAGCTGCGTTCATGAGAGGCTGTGCAATCATGTACAAAGCCAACAATAACGTCCGAGGTTATGACATTGTTATTCCGGTCTGGACTTCCTTGGGGATGACTGCGCTGCTCGTTTCGGTTGAGAACAGTAGAAAGTGTGGGTGGCTCAACAAAGCTTCTACGACTGTGTTGAGGCCGAGGCTCATGCAAGTCTCAGGAATCGAAATCAAAGTGGTGACGGTCCTCATCAATGTCCAAGAACCAAACCTTAAAGAGCCAGTGCCAACAAAGTTATGGAAGAAGGATGAGATGCATAAGTCTTACTTGCAGGGTGACGAAGCTTATGGCAAGAAAACGGAGCCTGTTGCGCACATAACAGTTTATGGTCTCGAACGCAACTTTCGTTTCCTTGGTGCTGAGACGAAGAGACTTCTAGCTGAACTTTCAATTGCGGGGCCGGATGTGGAGGTGGAGGCTGGAAAGCAATCAGAGGAAGTGAAATCATGGCTCCATTTGCTGCTTCCTGACACGTATAAGCTTCCAATTCCAAACGTCTCTGACATTAAGGAGCTTGGTAAGACACATTCGTGATACGCTATTCCCATGATATCATGATGTGACATTTCAAGTTTACAGGTGATCCGCGACAGAAGCGCCCAATAGATGCCACAGAGAAGTTTGCGGATGATTTGCAACAGAAACGCTTAAAAGTTGCCTGAGAATTGGTAATGCCATTTGGTTTAACAAATGCTCCTACAACTTTTTAGAAGTTGATAAATCAAGTTTTACAGCCTTACTTGAGAAAAGCAAGATCGTGGCCAGGTCGTTTAGAATATTAAGCATGTAGTAGTCTTATGATTCGGGTTATGTTGTAATGGTTTTGCATAAATATAGGATTATTAAAAACTTTTATTTTATTTTAGAAAATCAATTTAGCTTTTGGCTATGCAAATCACATGAGAAACAACACTCAACCATGAAGCTCTCCTTCTCACCAAGATCCCTAACACCACAATGTACACATAAATTTGAAATAGAAAGCAAAATGCATCCTGGAGCTCACCCTGAGAAAAACAAAATGTCAATGAAGGAGAAAATGATGGAGCTTGTAACTGTCATGACACAAGGCTTGCAAAGATGCAAAGCAATCATGGCCATAATAACCCTTGCAAAGGCTATGGCCATAGTTGTGAGGCTTTACCATGAATTGTGAATTGTAATTGATTTGTATCTAGGGTTTGACTAACTTAAAATATCTTTAAAAGCCCTTTAGATCCATATATATAACTTATATACTATCTTTGTAACTTGAGTTCCTTTACAAATGAAAATAAAATTGCTGCATGTTGAGTTGCAGCAACGCTTGGTTTTATTTTGTTTTTAAATATTTTTTATTATGATATATAATTTATTATGATCTGTCCAGTATGCAGGTGCTATTCCTGCTTCTGTATATATTATATCTTTTACCCATATATGATCTATTAGTTTCTTATTATGTGTATTGTCTTTTATTATTTGTATATATCCTTCTTTCTTCATTAGTAATATTGCATACAAATGACTATAAATCAGAAAAAGTAGAACATTTAAAAATAGAAACAATGGTAATGTCATATACATCACTAGAAAAAAATTTAAAAAACAGAAAAAAAATTTACAAAGAAAACCTGGAACAAATATATAAATATTCAAAAACAACTACAAAAATATATACAGAAAATAGATAATAAAAAACTAGTAATATAAATTGGTTCAAATAATTATTGTTGTGCTCTCTCAAAATTTTTTCTTTGGTTGGACTAAAACAATGCAAATGCAAACTCAAGGTTTAGTTAAAGATGAGACCGAAAAGAAAACCATTAAGGATGAAAGATCAAACACGTAAATAATTTTTTCTTCTTGGAGAGATAATTTGCAATAAGGTGTTAACTCATTGCTTATATTTACATTATGCAATCAAGAGTCCCTACTTTGATGCATATTGGTTATAGTGATCTTACAAGTGGTGAGTCAAGGGATGAATAGTGGTGAAGTGTTAAATCATTTTGTCTAAGCTTATTATTGAAGATTTAAGTTGCAATGGTCAATTCTTTTTCAGGGAACCTTAGTATTACTCCTTGAATAGCTTGGTGTTGGATTAGTTTTGAGTTTGGTAAGATAGAGAGCGACATGAACTTGTCCGTGTTATGAACAAAAATTAGTGGTGTTGGGTGTTGTAAGTCTCTATCAATGGAGTGTGGTATTTATGTTGCATTTTGTCGAATTGAGTTGACACTTGATACTCACATTAAACCTTTAAAAAAATGACATTAGCATTATTCGTGGTGTTGCTTGATTGATGATCAAGTCATTGTGATTTTTATATCATATTCATGTGATAATAAGTAATGTGTTTACGAAGTTGCTTGATTAGATGATGATCAACCCCAAAGTGGTTGATGGTGAAGCTAATCTACTTATATATAGTAACAATGAAGTAGCCTTGACTGGATTCTTAATGGTGGTCTATTATGCTAAATTTAAGTTAGTACCTTGGTTCTTAAAGGGTTTACCCATTGAGGTGTTAGAAAGGGTTGTAGCATTAATTTGCTATGACTTGTTGGTGAATCTGTTGCACTTGGAGTAGATTGCCGGATGGAAAATGTGTGTAATTGAGGCATTGACATTGCTAGCATTTGTGTTAGTGGAAATGGCATTGTTATTTTGAGTGATGAGGAATTTTCCTTAAATCTTGATTTTCCATGTCCTTTTTTTTATTAGTGTTTTGGCTTTACGTTGGATCTTGAAGGTGGTAAAAAAGAGTGTTAGTGCAATGTGGGTATCCGAAAATATGGTCTTTGTGATTAAGCCTTGGATGTTCATTTTGCATTTTTGCGGATGTTAGTCTTGGATATAAAAAATATGGGTATGATGTTTGAAACTTAAGCATACTATGGGTCTTGAGAATTTGTATTGAGGTGAAACTATGTGAAGTTGTTAGTAGGAGGAAGTTGGTTGAGTCTTGAAAGTTTGCATTCCTGGATTGAGGGTAATTCTTTCTCTAGGATGGAAAATTTTCCATAAATTTTTTTAGGCTTTTCCAATGGTTGATTTGTTGATCACTTTGCTCAAAAACCTTTTCATTTTTGTAAACCAGTACAAACTAGTGAAACAGTTGGTGTTGACTTCGGTTGGCTTAAATTTTAATACAAAGTTTATATGATGCAACTTGAATAAGATGCTAACTTTTGGGGTTAAAGCAATTGAGTGGGATAAAGTCTGGAGTTGGTGTAAAAAAGTGGCCGTTGCATTTTTTTAAGAAAGGTGACCCTATGAGAGTAGTGAACTCTCACTGATCTTGACTTAGTTTTGGTAGCCTTGCACTTGGCTGAGGATGATGATATCCAACTTAATTGTTTAAGGTTGAAATGTTAGTACCCATACTATAGCTTTGTCTATGAGGAGGTTGTGTACCAATATGAGTCCATCTCATGGTCTTCATTTTAGTTTCGACTGAGTGTTGATTATGCATAACTAGCCTCTTCAAGGTATGCTCAGATTAGATATATTGGTGAGCTTATTGCGGTTGAGTTGGATTCGAGTAGTTATTTAGTTTATGTTTGTCCATGAACTTTTATCTTGTACCTGGGGTATTACATTTATATTGGGCAAGTATATAACTCGATGACATAAGTTTAATGTTTGGGTCTTATGAAAGGTAAATTAAAGAGTGATTATTAGTTGCTTTGTGACTAGTGATTACTTGTAGACTTTATCAAAGGATTATTAATACTTGCTTCGTTAGATGATAATTTAGCAATGATAGACTTGCTTACTGGATGGTGTTGCGGAGGATTGTGTCGTTAGACTTATATGGTTTTTCCATATTAGTATGTTGACTCTACCTCTGTCGATATCATTTGGTTATATTTAGTCTGTGGTATTTGATTTCATTAAGTC